TTCGAAGAGCAGAGAGAGCTGGACAGACATCCCAGTAATAAATATATTTTTAAGGCTTAATGCATAATTATTGTTAAGCTTAAGGATAAGAATAAGAATATGGGCTGAGTCTTAAGAATATATTCTGAATAATTCTTAAAGGCCCACTAATTTTATGACCCACACAGGCATTGGCGCGTATCTGTCATTTCGTGTCTCCTAGCCACCAGGCTCCAGCAACAGGTAGCTGTGAAGCAAACCTGAGCGTCAGAATGTCTCCATTCGAAGCCGCGTCTAGCGCCTCTTCCCTCCGGCCTTCCGACAGCATATCGCAGGCCCCTAGCTCACTATCAGAGCCTGACCTTTCGCCATGCCAGCATCCAGTCAAGAGGAGGAAGCTGCGAGCAGTCTCAACATGGGATCACTTTCGTGAAGCCGAAGGCGACGAGCCACACATGAAGGCCGGCAAGGTATTGCACTACTGCAAACGTTGTCGCAACCCCCCGTGGTCAACGCATATATCCGGCAATGCGCGCTATCATCTCGAGAATGCCCATCATGTGGTAGTAAGACAAGACTCATGGCCGCAGAGCAAACGCCAGCTTGCTATCGAAAACGCGTTTGCAAGAACGACGCAATGCAGGCACGGCAAACTGAGGAGAGGGAAAAGAACGCGCTGCGTGCGGTAATCAACGCCGATGCCTTCCGAGAGGCTCAGATGTTGATGGCTGTACGTAGGCACCTCCCTCTTAATTTTGTGACATGGCCAAAGTACCAAGCACTTCTGTCGGCGATAAACCCCGCGGTTGAAGAGTTTCTGGTTGGCTCTGGAGGCACAGTTGCAGCCGACCTGGACACGGCTCACGCGGCGCATCAGCAGTCAATAAAGAGATGGCTGCTGTCTGCTCGGAGCCTCATACATATTTCCATGGATGTGTGGTCGTCTCCTCAGCGCAAGTCATTCATCGCCGTCCATGCGCAGTGGGTTGATGAATCGTACTTGCCTCGCAAGGCGTTGCTCGGGCTTCCAAATCTCCGCCGCTCTCACGCTGGCGCGGCTATGGTACCTCACTTGATGAATGTCATCCAGAAGTTCGAACTTGCCAACAGTTTGGGGTATTTCACCGGCGACAACGATACAAAGAACGACACCTGCCTCCGGCAACTCGCCAAAGACCTGTTGCGGGAATATGGCGTTGTGTTTGATCCAGTGGCCTCTCGGACGCGATGCTTTGGCCACATCATCAACCTCTCCCTTCAGGCTTTCCTCTTCGCAAGCAGCAAAAGGGCTCTGGAAGCCGCGATCGAGGAGGCACAAGACGAGGCAAACGATGCGACTATTGCCGGTGCGCTGCAAGACCGCATTCATTCAAGCAGTGCGCACCCGAGATCCCGCAGCAAGCCCAAGGGGCGAGCGGATGCGGCGGGCTGGCGAAGAGTGGGACCTTTAGGCAAGCTTCACAACATTGCCGTGTTCATCCGCAATTCAACTATTCACAATGACGCATGGGACGACGTCGCGGGGAAGGCACTGGGACTCGACAACATCACACGATGGAACTCTTGGTTCAAGCTGCTCGACGCCGCCATCCGCCAAGAAGGCTCCATGTCCATCTTCCTCAACCAATTCCATAGGGAACTGGAGGATGACATTCTCACACATGACGACTGGCAAATACTCAAAATGACCCATGAGTTTTTGCAGCCGTTTCACCAAGCGACCATGGAGCAGCAAATGGAGTGGGCATCAATAGACCAGGTGCTGGAGAACATGGACATCTTGTTCAAGCAATTTGAGGATGCCAAGGTACGCATCTCGCGAACCGCGAAATTGCTGTCCATTCTCTTTAAGTCTTCGACATCGACCTTACGCTAACAATATTGCAGATCAAGTATGCCGACAACGAGCGCATGGTCAACTCTATCCATATGGGTTGGTGGGTGCTTGCGAAGTACTACGAGGAAAGCGACAGTAATCCAATATACGTCACAGCCTTGCTACTCCACCCAGAGAAGCGGCGGCGATATATTGACCGCCACTGGCCGGAGGAGTGGCGAGAGGGGCCCGTTGCCGCAGCACGGCAGCTTTGGGCGAAGTACAAGACCAGGTCATTAACGGCGACCGTTGCATTGCAGCCACGAAAGGAACGGCTCGAGATGTCTCCGTACGAGCGCATCAAGCAATCGATGAGTGTATTGGATGAACCAGTTGACGAGGATGAGTTTGAAAAGTTCATCAATTCCCCCCCGAGACAAGTGACGGCGAAGACTCCGCTCGAATGGTGGTGCCGGGAGGAGCAGAGGATGGAGTATCCCCGCCTGCACCAGATGGCCATTGACATCCTCAGTGTCCCGGCGATGTCTGTCGGGCAAAATCCACTGCAGGGGCTAGACCTCAGTGGACGCGCACCTCTCTAGAGCACCTTGGGCTGAACTAAATCGAAAGACCTGGCGGGAATGTTCATAAAAGAACTGGGAACCCAGGCGAATCTATGAGCGAAGGCCAGGATGGCCGAGCTTGCGTAAAAAGCCCTACCGTGGGGGTCACGGTAGGCGTGGCTATGTCGTATAGTTGGGGAAGGCAGAGGTTGCTGGGAACCGCTATACTGACAATTCCTCAAACACTCCTAGTCTTAAGTTTGTATCAGACATGGTTACCTGTTACAGCTTCGCCGCTTCGGCGAAGCTGCTCACGAGATAAATAGCTGCGTTGAATCCTTCCGTTCATCGGGAGGAGGAGAGCAATGCCAGGAATACACAGGAATTGTAACGGGTAGCACCATATCTCTAAGTGACTATGGCTAATACACATCTCAAAACGCGACAATGTCTGACGACCCCGAACGAGTCTTTTCTTGTACGAGACGTAGGATCTCCTGGGACAGAGCAAGGATGACCCCGGAGACCATTGAAAAATCGCAGTGTTTGAGTAGCTGGGTGAAGAATGACCTGATCAGGAGAGTCTATGTGTCTGTGGAAGATGAGATCATGGACGCTTACGGTGATGATGAAGGGTAGGCCCACCTGCCGATTATATTAATAATAATTATTAAGCTTAATAATGCATAAGAATACTAGGACGTCGGTAAGAATAGATAAGAATATGCCAAAATTATGTATTTATTCATTACTGGGATGTCTGGAGCTGGAGTAGATGATGAGGCCATTGTTGACGGATTCGAGTGAAGGCAGGATTGAAGCGGCCTTTGCCACGGTGGGTATTGTGAGTTTATCGAGGTACTCACATCGTGCATCATGGCTGATCGGCTCAAATGGCGGTCAAGGTCTTGAGAAGTGGGATGCAAAAGGCATCTCAGCTTAATGTGAAAGAAATTGATGTGAAGAGGGGGAGACACGGAAGTGGTTGCATATGACGCAAGGGTCCACATGCGGCAGAAGCAATGTTAGAAGTCGTCAGCCGTGGGCCATTCAAGTATGTACTATGATGGTGATCAAGTAGTGATCAAGCACTGAAATTCATAGCAGAAAGCCGATAGGGCACCTGACTGTGTCGAAGAAACAAATAGCGGTCTGGGACGAATGAAATGTAACACTCCATTAGGATGATTGGACGAGTGACTTGTATGTTGCAGAATCGTGGAAAGACGTGCCGAGAGGGGGAAGAGCGTAGTCAGAGCTATTTAATGAGAATATATGTGAGGAATTATCGCGCAGATGACCGAGTCATTGAATTCCAAAAAATGTCAACTTCTGTAACGCAGGCGTGTTAAGAGGGATAGAACAGATACATCTTCAATGGCCGGAGAATCAGCAGACTTGCCGGCGGACCAACGTCGTGCTGAAGCCGCGCGAGGAGCAGTGCTGACGCAAGAGCCTACGGCTACTCATTCGCCGTTGCAGGCACAAAACGACTATCGAGTATTATTACCACGGCTTGTTCCGAGTGAGAATGAAGCAGGCAATACATTGAATTCGATCAGTTCGAGGCCCCAGCGAAGTCCTAGGAATGCCAAGGCTAGAAGTCGCGATGTTGTTCAAAAAGTCATGCGTGAATCAAGAGTTCCCAGGCCACTTCTGCCAAAACCTGCGGTAGTAGGGGTGGAAGAAGAGCCTGATGGTGTCCCAAAGGTTGTGCTGACCGAAGGATCAAGGCAGAAGGAAGAAAACCAGGCGACGAGCCCCGTCAGGTCGAGGTTGATGCGGAACCGGTGTCAAGTCAAGACCAGATGTGGTAACCAGGCCCTGAGAACTGTGCGCGAGTCGAGAGTGTCTAAACCACTATTACCAGTATCTGCGGTGACGAGAAGGAAAGAACAGTCTGATGACGGGTTGGAATTTGTGCGGTGGGAAGGACCGAAAGAGATGTGTAGCAGCTCCTTCTTGAAGGCGAAGAGAAGCAACCAGAGAGGAGCAGTTAATGACGTTCAATTCGGGTACAGGCATCCCTGGCCTCATCCTTTAACTTCTAGCCAACTTCAGGTTGTGGGTACGAAAAGATCGGATCAGGTGCAAGGTCAGGTGAAAGAGAGTGGTCGGAAAGGAGAAAGGGACGGAACCAGCAGCCTGAAAGCATCGAGGCAGACGAGCAGCGGCCAGAGTCAGACTAAAGGGGATAGGAATGTTCCTCAATCGCTTGCTACACTATCTGTTCCAGGTAGAGAGGAAGAAAAAAGTTCCAAGGAATTCGGGTTTGTGTCTTGGGAAGGGCCTGAGGAGAGGGAGGCCGTGTTGTTGGATCGCGAGGGAGAGGGCAGTAATTTACAAAGAAAGACTGGTTTGACAGAGGAGAGTGGTCAGAAGAGGTTAGGAAACCCGACAGGTATCTCAACATTGAGTCATGGCCGATTTTTGTCGGGCGCAAATCATGGGAGAGAAATAGTGTGGTCAATAACTCAGGAAAGTGGTGCAAGGCGGCACGCTATAGAGAGAAACCCGTCGTTATCAATGCAGGCAGATCCAGAGCCGTCTGGAAGAAAAGGAAAGAGGAAGAGGCCGGCGGAGCTGTGTGATGGAATAGGGATCTGTCAACGGGAAGGTTTCACTCCCGCCCCGATCGCGACGGAACTTGGCGAAGCAGCTACATTGGGTTGTAGCATAGCTCCGGGGAGAAGCTGTGAGTTGCCAGATACGTATTCCGGGTTGTCGCCGGCCGCCCCTCTCGTTCCGGCGACTAAAAATCGGAGGGCGGAATCGCACTCGCTCAAGAGAAAGTCCCGGTCCCAGCAGTCGAAGCGAGCATCGAAGCGGCCTCGTATCGAGGGTCGGCGAAACAGGAGCGAATATGACCATCGGACTGACTTGAAGGATGCTCTGCAGTGGCTTGAGGACCAATACGAGATCAAAAGCCAGTTATCCTCGACGAAAGCCTGGTGCCATCCTATACCTCTGCCAAGAAAGATCGAGACGGTACAGAACTTCTATAATGCCATGCATGATCGAAAGACACTTCCAATATACACTTGCTTGATCTGTTATGGCAAGTATGCCGAGGAAGATCTGGAATATGTCAGCTGGGTTCACTGGCGGAGTCTTGTAGCTCGAAGGCACAAATGGCCGGCGTCCGCATGCTTGAGTTGTTTTCCGGACGGGGCCGATATCCCTTCGTGCAAGGGCTGCGCAAAACAAGTGAGGAAGAGAGTCTTTCCACCGGCGGCTATTCTGCACGGCCGATTGAAATGTGAGCATGCCTATCCCGAAGAGTTGAAGGGCCTCACCCCAGTAGAGGAAAAGTTGATCGCCCTCAACTCGTGCTATGGCTTCTTCACAAAGCATACCGTAGTGGCAGGCTGCAGCAACAGTGCCGACTATGCAAAACATGTAAAGGGGCATATCACCGTGTTCCCAAATAATGTGAAGGATTTAGTTACAAATGTCCTGCCGCACCCTCTCCTTCGGGTGATGGAGGACATCCACGTATCATGGCATGGGACTGAGCGACCGCACGCTAAGGATTTGGCTGGCCTTCTGTCGGTGCGAAGGAGGAAGGTGGAAGCAGCCTTGTTCTGGTTAAGGCACAATAATCCTCACTACAAGGATATCGAAATCGACGGGGCCGAGATGGAGACCTGGGAAAGGGAGTCGCACGGCGTCCCTTCTCAGATACTAGACCGCCTTGAGAGAAATGAGCCGACCGCGTTGGACAAGATACGCACGGCACAGGTAGTCCCGCAGGCAGAACAATGCGTTGACGAAAACGAGGTCCTGAGCATCGACGAGATCCTAGCTAGTCTATCGCGGGAGGAGAACCAGTCCACAGGCAGTCAATCGCCTGGTGTACGGCCAAGGCGACGGGATGAAGTTGAAGAAGATGTTGAACAGGATGAATGTGTATGTGACTCCGTTCAGGAGATTAATGCCTCCGGGATGTTTGCCCTGGATGGCCGACCAGAGGTCACGGATGCAGAAAAGCTGAGGTTCATGTGCCACGCTATGGGCAGTAATGCCTCAGAAAGGGAGGAGAGTGTGGGAGCCGGACATGCTACGGCCTCAGCGAGGGTACAACTCCCCAGGCATGGAGAACCTTTCATACAGGTGTCGCGCGGCGATGATTTCGCAGATGCATTCGAGCCTTCCTTCTTTCCGAAAGCCTTCCCCACGCTTTTCCCTTGGGGTGTAGGAGGCCCCAGGCTGGCGGATGAGCAGGCTCCAGGCACCGGAGCCAAACTTGGAGCGGTCTGCGCAGCTGACGCGGCAGAACATGGGGTCGCTAGCTTGCTTGCATCGAGGAACATGAGCTTGCGTACATGGGCCGATGTCGTGTTGAGGCGACACGGGGGCCGGTTCGCAAACCATCGGATTTTTGCCTTCCTCATTTCAACCTAGAGGTGCGATGGAGGAATCGGAGGGTCAGCCTGCTCAGCGTAAGCCGGCAGAGCTTCCCTAATCTCGAGCGAGTCGTCCACTCGCTGAGCAAATTAAGGTTAGATGCGGCGAGAAAGGAGCTGGAGGAAAACGAACGGACCAGTGATGATGGCATTCGCGAGCTCCTAAAGAGCATCTCGCTGTACAGGGTTTCGTCAGCCAATGTCCAGAGAAATGCGACTAAGTTCGCGGCGGAAGATCAAATCTTTCATCCTTTTTTACGGCATGCCAGCAATATGGTTCACGCTGAACCCGAACGATCTGACGAACCCAATCAAACTTCGCTTGGCCGCTTATAGGACTCATGACCCAGAAGATGCGGAGGCGTTCTTGACGAGCCTCGATATGGCTTTCAAACGGGCTCGCTTAGCAGTTTCCGACCCGGTGAGTTCCGCATTGTTCTTCCACAGAGAAATATCGCTTTTTTTGGAGCACTATGTGAAAATAGGTCAGGATTCTGTGTTTGGCCGGATTAGCCAATATTTTGGCGCCGTAGAAACCAACGAGCGTGGGGCGTTGCATATTCATGGACTGCTTTGGCTGCACGGAAATGCTCAGCTTGGGACACTGCTTAAAGATTTATGCGGTGATGGCCAACATATCGAGAACAAGTCTCGCGATACGCCGATAGTGTGTTTGCCGAGGTAAGCATATCCCCAGCGTGGAGCAGAGGTGCATGGTCGGCCAGGAGTGGAAACTCAAAAGCAAGTCGTAGGAATTAGACCAGGAAGCCTCCTGTGCCATACAATCACAGAGGTCGGTGACATCCAACGTGGCAGCATTGTTGTCCGATACCGATCGATTTGCGGCCGAGTTCGACGAGGAAGCCAACTTCTGCGCAGGCGCCACTCAGGTACATACCCACAGCCCAACATGCGTGAAATATTCATTTGGTCGCCGCCGTAGCAAGAGGACGGCGGGGCGTTGTCGGTTTGGGGCTCCTTGGCCGGCGGTGGAGAAGACGGGGTTTACGGAAGACGGGGTGCTGCGGATCAGGCGGACACGCCCGATGGTCATCGTTGGAACAAGGCGATGGCGGTTGGGCTAAGACACAATCATGACATCTCCTTTATCGCAACTCAAAGTAAAGCCAAGGCCATCGTATACTATGTGACCAACTATGCGACGAAGGTGGAGGACCCACTGTGGAAGCGGGCGGCGGCCGTGTCTGAAGGCTTCGACAGAAGACAATCCAAGACTGGGCGTGCTACATCGGGAGGGATGTCCCATGAGGAGGAGCCCGAAGGAAACAGGACGCGGAAGTTCATGATGAGAGTGGCCAATCGTGTATTCACAGAAAGGCCATTGTCGCAAGTGGAGGTAGTGGCCAATCTTCTGGGGTACCCGACGGAGTTCACAGGCGTCCAGGCGTGGACCTTTCTCAACGTTTCATTGCTATACTGGCACATCGTCAAACAATGGCATCATCAGCAGCTCTCCAACGGACACGGGGACGTCGGCGTAGGAAACGTCGACGAGGCAATAACAGTTGAAGAAGCAGGAAGGCGTCTATCCTATGTGGAGGCTTATGGCCAACGGGGCAACCTTCTCAGCCCATTATGTCTGTACGATTACATGACGCTTGTCATGGTCAGGCGCAGATCAGAGAAGAAGGCTGTTTGGGGAGAAGTGCCTTTCAAGACAGGGTCTTCTTTTGCAAGCGAATGGGTCCAAGTTCTTCGAAGGCCTGGCATGCATGCGGTCGTATGCCTCGACGGCTTTCTCAGCCTGGACTTCGATGAGAGGATGGATGATAGCTGTGTCAGTAGGTAGGTCTCTCCAATGCGGGCCCGAGCTGCCCGAAGGGCCATTTTATAATATGATGCTGACGGACTTGTACAAGGGCGGCTGTACAGCACCTTGCCCTATTCGTGCCGTGGGAAGACTTCTTGCGCGAGACCACGGCAGATATTGATAGCGTGTGGAGAAGGTGTCGAGACTCTTTGCCGGGCCGGCTACAATGCGTGGTGAATAACGCCCAGCTGCTTCGACAATCTGCCGAAGATGCAAGGCGAGACGCGCGGCAATGGGCTGCTACTTCTGGAGAAGGAGACCTCTCGATGGACGTTGATGACAATGTGCCCATGGACGGGCGGGATGACGGTAAGGCGGCATTCCGATCTGACGAGATTGGAGATGCAGGGCGCCTGATTGACCTTGTCCGAAGTGCCTCCAGCGCTGGACAGATAACTGCTGGTTCGAGGGAGCTCGCAGATGTAATGCAGAGACTTTCGCATTTCCAGCAGTCAGCATTATGCTCCCAAGACGAGCTACGGGCCAGCCGTTTAGCTGAAGGTGGCAAACGGAGAGTGGGCGAAGGCCTGGCCCATCTCGAAGGTGTCGACATCCCCTCGCAAGCTCAAGTGCGAGGGATAAAATCACAACAGAAAAGTGCATCGAAGGAGGTGGAAAGCCTAGTCCAAGGCACCCAGAGGCGTTCACGCAAGGTGGAGGAATGCGCGACCGCCTCGTGGCAGCGGCAAGATGTAGTCGGGCTAGTCGAAGAGGTTGAAACGATACAATGTCCAACGGTCGGGCCAGCCGTTAATCTCGAATGGCGCGTGTCGGATTCATTTTATGCAGAAGGGGAGCGTATTTCTGAGGCTTTTACATTAAACACTCGCCAGTGCGCAGCCCTGTTGTTGATATGCAGGCACCTTGATAGCATCCAGCATGTTCAACGTGAGACCGACGTGGAGCAGCTCTGCCAATTCATTGGCGGAGAAGGCGGGACGGGCAAATCGCGGATCATCGAGGCAATCGTGGAACTTTTCACGAGGAGAGACGTCGGACATAGGCTACTTGTCACAGCAACTTCCGGAACGGCTGCCGCGCGCATCAACGGCATCACCATCCACTCAGCATGCAACCTTTCAGTAGAACAGCGCTCAGCTTCGGCAGTATCGAAGAGGTTGGACGGGGCGCAAGCGTCTGGACCTGGGCTGAGATTTGTCAGTGGGCAGTCCCGGATGCACTGGCAGGACAAGCAACTTTTGATCCTCGATGAAGTTAGCATGCTAGGGGCCCGCACGCTGTTTGCCATCAACGAACAACTGCAGTCTCTTCGTGGCTCATCACGGGATTTTGGCGGCATACCCATTGTCCTTTTCTGCGGAGATTTCCATCAGTTCAGGCCTGTGCAGGAGAGATTGATGCTACTGCCGAGCACCATGACCTCGTGGGACGACGATGCAAGTTTACGAATAGAGCAGAGGCATGAGCACGATGTAGCGCATGCTCTCTGGAAGCGGTTCTCCACAGTCGTGATGTTGAACGAGCAGGTGCGAGCAGCTGGAGACCCTGAACTGCAGGGTCTTCTGACAAGAATCCGCCAGGGCTCGCAAACCCAGGCGGACCTGGACCTTCTGAATGACAGATGCTATGAAGAGGGCAAGAGGATCCCTTGGGAGACGGGGATCACTGTTGTAACACCATTAAACAGAAACCGGTGGAACCTGAACATGGAGGCCACTGTAGCCTTTCAGAGGCAACGGCAAGCCACACTTCGAATCTTCCTGTCCGAACACAAGTGGGTCGACGGCCAGCCAACCGAAGAGGAAGCCATCATGATGCAGAGTCAAGGAGATGATAGTGGCATCCCGGTACCATCAGTCTTCATGTTCGTTCCTGGCATGCCGATCGTCGTCAATAAGAACACACTGCAGGGATTGAAGCTTGTGAATGGAGCGTCGTACACGGCCGTTGACGTGGTGCTGGATAAGGTGTACCCGGGCCACCGGATCTCGGCCGACACGATTCTCCACTTCGGCCCGCCGGCAGCGTTAGTGCTCATGGCAGACTCAACCAAGACGTTCAATTTTGTTGGCATGCCACCTGGCACTATACTGCTGGCGCCGTTGAGGACCAGGATCAATTGCGAAAGGAAGCGACCGTGGCAGCAGACGGATTGTTCGCGGAAGGGGTTGCCCTGCACGGCAGCCTTCGCCTGCACAGACTACAAGGTGCAGGGCCGAACGCTGCAGCGCGTGGCTTTGGAGCTACGTGGAACCCGGACAACCAACATCAACGGTGAAGCAGTCCCGCTAGCTTGCGATCCATGTAGCCTGTACGTTCAACTATCCCGTTGCCCAACATTAGACGGCATCATGTTATTGTCAAAGGTCAGAAAAAGAGATTTTATTGGGAACACGGCATCGGAGATCATGGTCGCCGCAAAGAACCGACTTGAGGAGCTGAGCGAGACGACTTTAATGGAATTCAAAACGTGGCAGACAAATTTTGAGGCCGAGAAAGCAGCTTTGACAGCGCATGGAAGGGGGAGCCTTTAACGAGCAAAGGAAGGAGGCAAGGGAGAGAAAAACCGGCCCAATGGGAGTGGTGAAGAGTCGAATGCAGCCAAAATGGTCACTAAGGCGCAGATATGATTGGTCCGCGCGACAAGGGGGGCCCGGGGAGGTTTTTTTGGGGTGGGGCAGAAGTCCTCTCGGAACTTCGTTCCTCAAGGCAAAGCTTCGCTCAATTATATTAAGGTCTCCAGAGTGGTGTGACAGATCCGGTGGGAACATGACTATGTTAAAGTTTTAGCAACCGAATATGTGATAGTTCTAGTATAAATAAAGTTTTCGAGAACCCAAAACGGAATAGGTAGCGGGGCATATAAGCCTTTCAGAAACTGTTGGAAGCGCAAGGCTTCTATTCGTGTCCTCACGTGGGGTCTGTTTCAGCCACTGTTTGAGGCTACTCGCAGGCTCCGCCACCCAAGACGGCGGTGGAAGCAACAGAAACAGAAGCGCAATTTCTGTCTATCATGAGGTAACAATAAAGCTGAAGTCTCATGTTGCAGCCGGCTCGATCAATGCGCGATGCCTCCACATGAAACTCTGCCAAGAACCAGTCACAACATGTCGAACCAACTGGAAACAAATACGCTTTTGCAAATCCAAACAGAATCCGGGGTAGCCATGGAACTTGGGAAACCACTGAATCAGCGGGTTCCACGAAAACATGTTGCTTGCCCGTGCTTTGATTATTAGCACCAGTTAGCACCTGGGGCAAGGTATACATTGAGGTTGCACACGATAACGACACGAGTAATTTCAGCACACCCAAACGAGTTTTAGACATGGTGCTCTCGGTCGGTTTCGCCCGTTGTCCTAGTAGACTAAACTTGCGTGTGTTTGGGATTGACTCGCGCAAAACTATCTCGGCAACTCAAACTCATCTGCAATGACGACATTTGCACGGCATATTGCCATGAGCTTTAGCTTCTGCCCAGTTGAACCAGAGGCCCGAGTCGTTCAACCACTTTCCCAAGAGGATATAAGGCAGCCCGCCCCCCGAATTCAAGAAGCGTCTGTAACTCAATTACACAACACCACTTTAACAACATTTCTTCTCTACACTATTAAAGCACTATCCAAGTGTCCCTCTAAGCCAATCTCAAAATGAAGTTCTCCTACACTCTTGTTGCCGCGCTCGTGGGAGCCGCCGCCGCCAGCCCCATTGGCGAACCGTCCCTCAGCAAACGGGTCGACACGGCCAAGGTGAAGGAAGAGGTTCAGAAATTGAATACGCTGATTGCAAATTTCCAAGAGGCCAAGGACAAGAAGCAGGAGAGCAAGGTACGTCTGCATCCAGTCCTAGGTCATGGAATACACGCTAACATGGGCGGGATGCTTGTAGGGCGAGGGCTGGCAGCAGACCATTGACCTTCTCAAGGAGAGGGCAGCTGCTATCGAGGCAGCACCAGAGGACAAGGTCGCCGAGGAGATCAACAAGCTCGACGAGCCACTTGCTCGCATTCGCAAGAGCAGAGAAGGGGCGGTACGTTCAACCAGTGGACTCATGAGTCGTGATTGTTAAGTGGCATGCTAATACTGGCGGTTTCCCAGATTGACCGATACACGAGAAATCTCTTTGGCTTCGTCGATGCCAAGGACCGCCTTACCGAGGCGGCAAAGTAATCTCGAGGGTACGGATTCTGTCTGGCGGCATTGTAGAGCTTCGATTCTCTTGCAGCTCTGCCTGGAGTAAGCTGTGGTCGTTGTAGGGAGTTCTCTGTCTGCTAGAGTTTAAGCTCGGCCGGCCACTGGCGGGTATTTGTTCTTGGTTCCAGGTGAATAAAGATTTCATGTATTCTTTAGCTACACATGGTATGGACTGGTCTATTCATACGTAGTAGCCAAGGGTCAGATAGGGATTGCGCCCCATCTTTCGATGGGTGGTGCTGGTAAAAGGGAAATCCTTTGTCATCTTGCGCATGTTAATCTAACTGGATTTCTGTCTGTGATAAAATACTACGTCACCCCTTGCATTTTAGAGCCGTGGTGCAAGGGGTAGAATCATCCGAAGGCTGAGTGTCCGCGGGCCAATACATTATCTACGTACTGAATTTTTTTAATGTTTTTTTTTGGAGGAGACAATTCTCTTTGTTCTTTTTTATTCCTTTTTTTTTTTTGTCACGAGCAGAATCAGGTAGAAACTATACCGATCCACGGCCTATCTTAAAGGGATTCCGCGTAAGAACCTGCCGTTTCCTTAGCTCTTGGTCCCTCATCTTCATCTTTATACCGTCTGGGGGAGACTCATAAAACAGGTGAC